TTTTGTAATTTTCCCATCACTACAAATGTAAAATTAATGTAAGTTACACTTAAGTACCAGGTTAAACAATATTCATCTTGCTTATTTATTTATTTATTCTGAATGGTGGTTTGGCAACCTGTTCATTTTTTTCTATTTATTTCCTTTTTATTTCTTGTCTATTTATTTTCTTATTTTGTAGCTACAGTGGATACTAGAGAGAAGCCAGATTGCTAGACACACTAGTGTGTCATAGACACAACTTACGTGGAAGCATCAGGGCATAAACGTGTACAAGTAGGAGAAAAAGGTGGTCTAACTCTGAATGGGAAGGGCTGGTTCCTTAACTTCAATTAATTAAATGGAATTAGGGGGTCCACATGCACCTTGGATATATGTGGTTGCTTGTTTTTGGTTTTGGTTGGAGAGGCCAATTATGATGCATTTTTATTGAGTAGTGACACTATAATAGGATTAATGATATGTATAGGCAGAAAGTATAAAAGAAATGTGAAGTAGATGTATGCTAAGGATTTATAAAATAAGTAGATCATACTGTTGACTCATGATTCATGTTTTCCATCACTATGAAGCTGACAAATCTAATAAAGGGATGATATTGTGTAGTTTTCTTGCTTTATATCTCCATGTCTTTATGAGCATGCAGGCATGAAAGAATATTCTTATTATTTATAATTTTTTTGCACTTTAGCTAAATTATTTTCAGAATATTATATTGTTAATACCACAACAATGTGTGTATAATATACAATATTCATGTAATATTACGGTATGATATATATTACATATAAATATAATATTGTAACAATATTAACAACATAGTTAAATGCTATTTATGTCATAGGAAACCCAAGGTAGTAGGTATCTATTGACACATACATATCTTTTCAAAGGAGGAAAAGAGACACTTGATATTGGTTCAGACTCCAGAAAGTATTTTAGAATACTTATAAATTACCAAGAATAATCTTCACTCAAAGGAGTTATAGCTTTGGTAAGGGCAAATACCTTGAGAAGTTTAGACTATTCCAATGCCCATTTGAGCATACTACTTTTAAACTCTGAGCTCTTCAAGAATGATAGTGAAGTCCTCAGCCCCATTCTCATTTTGGAGGAGACCAATAACCCCGCCTACTACCATCTGTGATTTCAAAAGTACATTTTTTCTTATTCAAATTTGTAGCTTAATTGTGGAAATTTTTCTTATCTTTTAAAAGAAAGTTAAGACATCTGGTTTTAATTCAAGGATGTAGAGAGATGGAGTGAGCATTACTTCCATCTTTACAGTGAGAAACATTTTGGACAAAATGCAGAATATTTATTATGACTTTAATCAAATCCATTAGAGAACTGAGGTTTGCAGGGTTAACAACTAACTCAAAATCTAGAGAGAGATAATTTGTCTGCAGAAAGAAACAGTATCTGATCATTTGCTAATCTAGGACAAATATCATTGAATGTCAGATAAGCCAGTTTTAATAGAATGTAGACCAGATAGGTAATTTCAGCAGATGTTCAAAATTATAAGAGTCCAGTAGATATGTTAGAAATATAAATAGGTAGTACCAGAATGAAGAATACCTTCAATCAGCATTTCAAGGAAAGAACCAAAACACTTAAGGATAGGTGATTAGAAATTACCCAATTGATACACAAAGAGAAAAACCATGAAACAGATCCTAAAGAACTGAATATCCAAGAGCTGTAAGGCAATATTCAAATCCAATGTATTCATAAGTGGAGTCTCAAAATAAGAAGAAAGAGAATGGGCAGGAGAAATATTTGAGGAAACAGTGGCTAAGATTAGTGTCAGACACCAAACATAGAAACAATGGCTAAGATTAGTGTCAGACACCAAACATAGAACCAAGAATCTCAGAGAATACCAAGCAAAACACACTTAAAAAAAAATTAAAACTCAAAAAAAAGAACAACATGTGGGCATTTCATTCATATCATAATTGCTGAAAAACAAAGACAAAGAGAAAATCTTGAAGATAGTTGAGAGGGACAAACTATGTTGTTTATGGAGCAAGAAGGATAAAAATTGTTGAAACCTTTTATCAGCAACCATGAAAGAAAAATACCATAGAGCAACACCCCTAAAGCATTCAAAGGAAAAAAGTATTCTATATCCAGTGAAAATATTTTTCAAAAGTAAAGGAGAAATAAAAATTTTCTTAGATCAACAAAGGTGAGGAAATTCTTTGCCAACATAGCTTCTCCATAGGAATGTTGAAGGAAACCCTTCAGGCAGAGGGAACATGCGTGACATCAGAAACATATCTACCCATAGAAATGAAGAGAGTTCAAGATGAAATAAATACATAAGTGAAAGTAAAATGGAACTTTTTTTTCTTATTTTTATGACTCTAAAGCTAACACTCCCTAAAGTAATAATAGGACAAATGTTCGGTGTTTGTAACATATGCCAAGTTAAAATGTATGAGAACAATGCACAGGGATAGTAGGGAGGAATGAGAAATGAATTGTTACAAGTTTTTTATACTACACATTAAGCAGTATGATATTTGTACAGTAACTCAAATTATGTAATATATATGCACTGTTATATGTATATTGTATAGTATATATATATATATACTGTAATAATATATACTGTAAGCCCTAGGGCAACCATATAAAGTTTTTTTAGCATTAATGCTAGTTTTATTCAAGAGATAATATTAAAGAAAAGTTGAATTCTAACAAAGGAAAAATTTGCCAGTAATCTACCCTATTGTAAGAAGTGGAAGTGGGCACCACTTACAACACAAATAAATTCTAATGTTGCATTCCTTAATAAAGCTGCATTTGCTTCTTTGAGAGAGCCATTTCTTAGCTTCTACTGATAAGGCTTTGTGAACTGTGTTCAGAAACTTTAAACACACACACACATACACACACACACACACACACTCTTTTAAATAAACTACCTCAGATTTTTACTCCAGGCTGAGTTTCTGCAAGTACCTAGGACCCTATAACTTAAAAAAGATTGTGTATTTCTACATGAATTGGGACCCTATAACTTAAGACTGCATATTTCTACATGAATTCAATTTGCACTGCCTTAATTATGATGTGTTATTTAAATTTTAAAAATTAGATCAATATTTATTATGACTTGGTAACTCTCTCAAATTATACTTTAACATTTGAAGTGGTACTTCAAAAATAAATATTCAAGGCCTCAGTTTTTGATAAAAATATTAATAAGAATATACTAAAATAAAAGTAGCTTTCTTATAAAAATTACTTGTTATAATACAGATCATATTCTATTCCATAACTGTGAAAAAGAATGTGTTTTTTGGTAATGAAACAAGTTTAGGATGATTCAGTCCTTGGCAAAATCTTCATGGCAGTCACTCAATGGAGCAGAATTCCTGGATTCACACTCAGAAGCTTCTGTTAGCATTGACCGAGTATTGGGGGGGGTTTTTTGGTGGTTATTGCTTTAGTTGGCAATACATGAATTTAAGGAAAAAGAACATCTCCCACTAAGCCTTATTTTAAACATTACAAAATTTATACAGAAAAGAGACTCACAGAGGCTATAATGTTGGTATCTTATGTAACTGCACCAATGGGTGCAAGGTTTTTTAGAGAATATTCAAAGTTTTTGCTCTGAAAATAAATGCCCCTACTTTTCAGTTCCCATTCTTCAATAGGAGACTTGAGCAGCAGAACAGTTTTGCTATCAAAACAAACCACTCTTGTTAATAAGCCAAAAACATGAAACCGATAAAGAACAGTTTTCACAGTTAACAATACATATAAGTGCAGTAAGTGTTCAAGTGGGGCATGTAGTTTAAAAACTACATGAGTATTTGGCATAGGTCGTCTCTCATAGGGTCTCCGGGGGTCCCTGCCATTACTTACTGTGATCATGACTGTGATTCTTAGCTGTTCCTGGAGGATTTATATATAGGTCCCCGACCATTGCTTCGCCCAGCATATGAAACTTGGCGTCCCCTTGATTCTGGGCCAGTTTGAACCCTGTTTGCCACTGATCCGAATGTACCTGTACCCATATTACTATTCATGAAATTGTTCTTCTGCTCATTGTGTGCCCTTTTCTTCGATTGTCCTCGATAATCTGAGTTGGGTTTACTGAAATTTGACACTTCTGAGTAAGCCATACGAAATTCCCCAATATTTTAAAGTTCTCCACCCCTTCCAGTAAAGAGTCAGACATCCTTCCCACATGACTGCCTAGCCTCTGGTCAACCGTGTGATATCCCCTGGCCTACGAGGCCTCCGATTTCATCGCACACGGAAATAAGGATGCGGCCCGTTTTATCGCTACTTCACATGACCTCACTTCGTGGCCGTCTGTGGTTTCGGTCCCGTGTCCTCACAGGGGCTGCAGCGGGGAGGGCGCCTGCTTCTCTGCCTGCCACCCGGGCCACCACCAGTCGGCTGCGGCTCGGCCCCGACCACCAGCGGCAGTGGGTGGCTTCTGGGGGCGGGCTCTTCTCAGAGGGGGCTCCCCCAAGGCCCAGAGTGGGGGACCAGGGGGACCAGGGTAGGGGAAGGAGGGGGAGGGGAACGGGAAGGAGGGGGAGGGGAGAGGAGGGGAAGGAGGGTTAGGGGAAGAAGGGGGGAGGAGAGAAGAGGGGAAGGAGGGGAAGGTGGAGGGAGGGAAAGGAGGGGAGGGGAAGGGAGGGGAGAAGAGAGGAGGGGAAGGAGGGGAGGGGAGGGAGAGGAGGGGAAGGAGGGGAGGGGAGGGGAGAGGAGGGGGAGGGAAGAAGAGGAGGGGGAGGGGAGAAGGGGAGCAAAACGAGGAGACAAGCCAGGAAGGGGAGAAAAAATTAAAAAGTTTTTTAAGAGATATAAGTCAACAAGTCAATAAAATATAAAAGAAAAGAAAAACTGTTCAGTTAAGCCCTAAGGAAACAAAAGAAGATGAAAAAGAACAAATGGACAAATGAAACAAATTGGAAACACCTAGCAAGATTAAATGTTTTGTTCATACCATATAAATTAGTACTTCGAACATGAAGGATTTGAACACAAGAGTTGCAAAAATTAAATGCCATCTTCAAGAGCTACTGTGAATATAAATCATAGGTTAAACTAAAGGGATGGAAAGATACACAGTGTCAATATTAACCAAAGAAAACTGGAGTAGCTGTACTGATTTCAGATGCAATATATTTCAAAACAAGCAGTACTATCAGAGATAAAGAAGAACGTTATATAACATTAAGGGGGTCAGTTCTCCAAGAAGATAATAGTTCTAGATATATATGCTTTCTGCAAGATATATGAGACAAAAAATGACAAATCTAAAAGGAAAAACAGAAATCCACAATTATAGTTGGAGATTCCAATACTCCTTAGTAATTCATGGAACAAGGAGATGAAAATCAGTAAGAATATGGATGACTCTCAAATATCTTACCTGATTAATATTTATAGTACACTCCACTAAACAAGAGAATAATTCTTCTCTAGTGCACATGGAACATTCATCAACAAAGTACGTGTTCTGAGTCATAAAAGAAACTTGAATAAATTTAAAAGAATGGAAAGCACACAAAGTATGTTATAGGACAATAACAGAAAGTAGAAATCAATAATAAAGGTATCTAGAAAATCCTCCATTTGAAATTAAACCATACACTTCCATATAGTGCATGGGGTCAAATAGGTAGTATACATTTGCATATAAATTTTGAAAACATTTTAAGCTGCATCAAATTAAAAATGCAATACACTGAAATTAATGGGATACAGCTGAATCAGTGACTAGAGAGAATTTCATATCATTAATTGCATACATTACAAAAGAAAGATCTAAATTCATTCAGTTAGTAAGTTAGAAAAAAAAATAGCGATTTAAACCTAAAGGAGATGTAAGGAAATGAAGACTGGTAGAAAAAATGAAATTAAAAATAGGAAAAAATAGAGAACTAAACAGTAACCAGACTGCAAAGGAACAGGGAAAGACGTGTTATGAATATCAGGAATGAAAGAGGGGACATCACGATGGATCTCAGAGCCATTCACAGGATAATAAAGGAATGCTGTAAACAGCAGAATGTCCATATATTCTACAACTTAGAAGAAATGATCAGTTTCCTGAAGTACACAGACTATTGAAACCCAAGAAGAAATAACCTGAACAGTCCTATATTTACTAAAGAAACTGAATTTGAAATTAAAATATTTTCCACAGAATATTTCAGGCCTAAATTAATTCACTGGTGATCTTACCAAATATTTAAAGAAGAAAACCACTCTACGCAATCTATTCCAGAAAACAGAAGAGGGATGATACTTTTTAATTATTTTTTATAAAGCCAGAATTACTCTAACACCAAAGACAGAAAAGAAAACTACAGACAAATGTCCCACATGAACGTGGAGGCAAAAATACTCAACCAAACAAAAGTAAACCCAGTAAAATATAAAAAGGATAAATACATCTTAACAAAGTGGGTTTTTCATCTCAGGAATGAAAGAATTGTTCTATACACTTGAAAAAAACCATTATAATTCACCATATAAACAGATTAAAGAAGAAAAAGAGGGGCCAGTTCAAGATGGTGATTTAGGAAGATTCCAACCCTACTTTCTCATATGGAAACACCAAATCAACAGAAAATATGGAACAATTTCCTCTGAAAAACGAGTAAAAACTAGCAGAGTATCTTCTACATATTGGGTGAACAAGAGAAAACCCACATCAAAGTTAGGAGGGACTGAGACAGAATCTTGCCATAAACTCCAGCCCTAGTGCAGTTACCCACCATTGGGAAAGAACTCAAAATCCAGAGCTTCTCCCGAAGGAGCAAAGCCTCGAGTCCCACATGAAGCACCCCAACTCTTAGGGCTTGCACCTGAGTGATGAACACCCAAAACCTCTAGTTTGAAAAGCCAAAGGGACTCATGTCCGTGAGACCCACGTGGCTGTACCAAACTGAAAAAAGGCTTGTAAAGGGCTCACGCGCGTGGTCTCACTCACTCAGAGACCAGTGCAGGGGCAGCCATTTGTAAAGAGCCCATTTGTAAAGGCCTGAGAGGCACACGTCTAATTTAATACACATCTAGGAGCCTGCTGGGGCTATCTCCAGGAATGAAAGCTGTTGAGAGCTACCTCTTTTTTTTTTCTTTTAACTCTAAGCTATTGCTTTAAAAACTCTAGACTCTTTTGCCCCCGGTAGGCACCATCTTTATGCTTTCCCTCTGCTCACTGAAGCCTATTGGTATCTCCCAGAAATAAGCTTATACCCTCATCTGGTGCCCTGATTTTTGTGGCTGCCACCAGGAGACACCTCTGGACTAACTGACTGTGATGGTCAGTGGTGTGTGTGTGCTCATGGGTGCCAAAAACTGTAGCCAATGAAGAAAGTCCCTAACAGGCTACCACCCCCAAGGCACAGCAAGCGTAACAGTCTGAGGAACCCAGTCTTCCTGTGGAAGAGACCTTTGATTTTATCATCATAGCTGTGGCCTGAGGGTCTGGCTTCTAATTAAACACACACTGAAGGGCACAATGTAATTTCCTCCAGAGACCGTGGAGATATGGGTGCTCTCTGCACACTCTATCCAGGTAGCAGAGTGCCAGTATCCCTTGGAGGGGGCTTTTACATGTGTCGGGTGCCCCCATTTTTATGTCTGGTGCCAGGAAGTTGTGGCAGCCACCTGGGGATGACCCTTGATCATCTGCTGGCTCTGGTGGCCAGGGGGCTTGTATTCCCAGGTCCCACAGAACTATAACAAGTGGAGGCATAGGTGTTGACAGGCTTTTGCCCCCAGGGCCCTGCACAAACAGCAAACTGAAACTTAGCTCCTGTCTTTCTGTAAAAGAGACACAGTTGCCTGTCCTGGACCTTTGAGCTGGGACAAACATCTGGTTTGACACATACGTAGTGAGGCGCTCTCAAGCAACATAAACCATGGGGCACCATCTTTGTGCCTCCCTCTACTTCACTCTGAGTCACCAGTATCTCCAGGAAAGGAGCCTTGTAAACTAATTTAGTGCCCTGATTTGTGTGATCACTGGCCAGGGAACACTTGTAGGTTACCCAGCTCTAATGACCAGTGGCTTATATCTCTGTGGTCCCGCAGGACTATGTATTTGCATACATTAAAAGCTACTGCCTGATGGTCTGGTTTCTAATCAGCCTGTACCTACGTTCTAAATGAGATCCTCCCTTTTGGAATGCTGACAGGTCTTTGCATACTCTTAGCTAGTGGAACCTGAAGAATGAAATAGACTACTGAGACAGTCCCAGAGGTTTGAGAGACAACCAAAAGCTAGGGCTGGATCGATCAGTGAGATTCATCTCCTACACCAAGCCACTCCTTAAAGACTGGAAGAGTGCAACGCATAGAAACCAATACAGAGAGTCCACAAAAATGAAAAAGAGGAGTATATTCCAAACTAAAGAACAAGGTAAAATGTCTGAAAGTCTTTAGCGAAATGGCAATAAGTGATTTACCTGATAAAGAGTTCAAAATAATTGTCATAAAGATGATCACTGAGCTTAGGAGAAGAATGTACGAAGACAGGATTTCAAAAAAGAGCAAGTATAAGAAAATGCCAAATAGAAGTCACAGAGCTGAAGAAAGTCATAACTAAACTGAAAGATACAATAGAAATGCTTGATGGCAGACGAGATGAAGAGAAAGGAAGGATCAGTGAACTGAAGACAGTTCTGATCGGGAACTCATCCAACAAGAGCAGCAAAAATAACAAAAAATGGTGAAAAAAGTAAAGATAGCTAAAGGTACTCATGGACATTACAAAGGAGACATTCTCATCATAGAGCTCACAGAGAAGGAGAGAGTGAGAGAAGAGCAGCATAGTTATTTGTAGAACTAATGACTGAGAACTTCCCTAACATGGGGAAGTAAACAGACATCCAGACCCAGGGAGCTCAGAGTTCTAAGCAAGAGGAACCTAAAGAGACCCACACCAAGACAGAATAATTAAAATGTCAAAAGTATAGGAAAAGTAGTAGGAAAAACAATTTGAGTAGAAGGGAGCCCCCCTAAAACTATCAGCGATCTTTCAGCAGGAGCTCTGTAGGCCAGCAAGGAGTGGCGTCATAAATGCAAAGTGCTGGAAAAAAAATCCATCCAGTAATATTCTACCTGGCAATATTGTCACTAAAAACTGTAGGGGAGA